ACGTCACCGTGCCAGAGCAACACAAACACTGCTGCACCCTTTGGCCACGTGGGTGCTGTGTCTGGGACCCCTGTGGCCCCTGAGCTGGGACTGGCCAAGCTATGGTGGCACTGGGAAGGCTCAGGAGGTTCTCAGGGGAAACTGGGGGTTCTAAGCAGTGCCTGGGAAGGGCACAGGGCAGGCCTGCTTTCCTTGGCTGGATGCACAGGCTGGCTTGGAAGCTCCTGTGTTTGTTTAGCCCAGCGAGCTCTTCCTTATCCACACAGTGCTTGACACACAAGATATGTGTAATCACAATGAACTTTCCAACCCCTGCTTGTTCCAAGTCTCCTCCAAGGGGAGATCAGGAATTCCCCCAAATCGAGGCCGTGCTGCAGCATCTCCTCAAGCTGGAGGGAACTGGGCACATTTGAGGCTACACCACCATCAGCAGGACACCTACCAGCACACTGGGCAGCGCTGGTGCTGCACAGGTTCTCACACAGGAACTGGATGGTCCTGCACGGGGTCTCGGTGCTGGGATGCTCCTGGCAGAGGCAGCAGGCCACATCACTGGGCAGTTTGCTAAAGACAAGAGGTTATTTATTGGAGGAAAACCCAGCGTCCCAATCCATGTCTCTGAGTCCATCTGGGGCCACACACAGATAAGGCCTTGGGGATGTGCACCCATGTCTGCCACAGCTCTGGAAAACTTCCCTCCCTTGAGTCCCAAAACATCAAAAATGTGATGGAAGTGGAACTGCTCCCAAAAGACCATTTGACAGAGAAACACACCAGCCATGATCTAAACCCCCCTTTGAAATTCTGCCTCGGAGCTGGTGAGTTTGGGAGGTTCCCAGAAGTCAACAGCAACCCTAAAGCCTGCTGGGCTTGTTCTGATTTAGTGGCAGGTGGATTTCTCTCCCAGGCAGACTCCCTGTGTCAGCACTGAGGCTCTGCTGGTGGCTGGGACTCGAGTAGTCCCACACACTCACAGTGTTTCCAAGTGCACTGTTGTCTGCAGGAGCAGCAGCAACGTCTGCGGAGTCACTTGAGTTGCACTCAGGTCCCTGCGAGCATTTCAAAGACCACATTCAATTTTCAGTGACATTCCCAGAACTCTGCTCTGAGAGCAAGCCCGGGCCCCTGATGGAATGTGGGGTGCTGGCAGAGGGATCCACCTCTGCCTAATCAAAGAAAAACAATTCAAGACCCGCCCATCCTCCTGCTTTGCCCTGCTCCAAACCATGGGGTTGCAATCAGGAGGGGACCCTGCAGCTCTCCTGGCACACAGATGCCAACAGAAAGGATTCTCCAGCTCAAACCCCTCCTCCTGCTCTTCCCTGGGGGCAGCTCCAGTCCCTGAAGGAGGCAGGAGCCCTGGACTGCTGCCATGAGTGCTCAGGCAGGACTGGAGTATTCCCAGAGCCCTCTGGTCACTCCATGGCCCCAGACCTGGATGGCCTCTCGTTTCTGAAAGTTTCTGTCCCAGCGCCTTGGGTGCTTTGCAGCTGGGCACACACCAGAACTGATGGGGCTTGTTGTGCCAGTGCCAGGGACATTTGTGCTTCCAGCACGAACAGTCTGTGAGAAGAGTGACATTTGCTCCTGGATCTCTGCTTTCCTGGGAACAGACCACTCCAGACACACAAAGCTCTCTCTTGATCTGCTCCAGGAGTCAGTACTTACAGATAGTTGACTGAAGGCAGCTTGAAGAATGCTGTGTCAGCAATCACGGTCAGGGGGTTGTGGCTTAGGATCCTGACAAAACAACAGAGAGCTGTGAGGAGTGGTGGGAAGGATGGGAGCTCTGTGGCTCAGGGCATGGGGGGATGGCCTGGCTGGTTCAAGGAAGCTGCAGAAGAGCAGCAGGTCAAGGGAAAGGGGCTTTCCAGCTGCAGACTCCCAGTGCTCCCTGGCTGACATCCACAGTGGGATTCAGCACTTTACACAGGGCAGGCTCTGCCCCACTGTCCCTGCAGGGTCTTGCTCTGATGGGCCTTTACACCCTGTCCCACTTACAGCTCCTCTAGAAACTGCATCCCGTGCCATGTCTGGAAAGTGCCGCTGTGGATCTGTGTGAGGCCATTCCCACTGAGGTTTCTGGGGAAAGAGAAGATCACAGAAACCA